CTAAATTGTTATTGTTATTCACACCTCTTGGACAAAGTGTCCAGGGTTGTCTCTATAGGGACTAGTTTGCAGACGTACATAATGACGGCACCGGTGCGTGTAAGTTGCAGGTGTTTCTCTGATTTACAGTCTGATACGGAGAGCTGGTTTTTGATGAAGTTGCCTCTTTCCTCGCATGTGTAATCTTACAAAACTGGATTGATATTCAATTATGCGATAAAGAAAAAGGACGTGTTCTGCTATTATTCTTTCGTTGGTGATGAAGCTGAAGACAAAAGCAGACAATTGATGGAGTCCAAGTGTTTTTCGTTCGCAGTTTCTGTTCCGGACAAAAATCGAGAGACAAAAAGACAAACGGATCGGCGGAAATGGAGACGAAAACAAAGATGAAGATGAGGCAATAAGTGATAAGAAAGACCGACAGGCGAAGTAGGTGAGAACAGACAGACAGATGGAGTCTGGGACGAAAACAGACAGATGGAAATGGAAACGAAACCAAACCGAAATATGGTGCTGGAGACGAAAACGGACAGAAATATAGGAACAGGTAGAGCAAAAGACAAACACAGAGACAGACAAATAGACGGAGCCAAAGACAAAAGAGTCCGTTAGATGGAGACCGAGCCCAAAACAGACAGATTTAAGGGATTAAATATGACCGATGGGGTAAGAGACAAAAGCAGACAAACAAGAAAAAAGGAAATGGAAATCGACAGAAAAGGAAACGTAAAGGAGACAAACTGAAAGAAGGACGTGAGCAGACCGACAGATGGAAACGGAGACGAAAACAGACTGACACATGGAAACGGAGACGAAAACAGAGACAAATTAAAACGGAGACGAAAAAGACTGACATGGAAACAGAGAAACAGACTGACATGGAAACACGAAACAGACCGACAGATGGAAACGGAGACGAAAACAGACCGACACATGGAAACGGAGACGAAAACAGACCGACACATGGAAACGGAGACGAAAACAGACTGACACATGGAAACAGACGAAAACAGACTGACACATGGAAACGGAGACGAAAACAGACTGACACATGGAAACGGAGACGAAAACACTGACACATGAAAACGGAGACGAAAACAGACTGACAGATGGAAATAGAGACGAAAACAGACTGACACATGGAAACGGAGACGAAAACAACCGACACGGAGACGAAAACAGACCAACACATGGAAACGGATACGAAAACAGACCGATGAAAACGGACTGACACATGGAAACGGAGACGAAAATAGATGACACATGGAAACAGACGAAAACAGACCGACACATGGAAACGGAGAAACAGACCGAACGAAAACAGACACAATGGAAACGGAGACAAAAACAGACACACATGGAAACGGAGACGAAACAGACTGACAGAAACGGAGACGAAAACAGACCGACACATGGAAACGGAGACGAAAACAGACCGACACATGGAAACGGAGATGAAAACAGACCGACACATGGAAACGGAGATGAAAACAGACCGACACATGGAAACGGAGATGAAAACAGACTGACACATGACACATGGCGGAGACGAAAACAGACCGACACATGGAAACGGAGATGAAAACAGACGACACATGGAAACGGAGACGAAACAGACCGACACATGGAAACGGAGATGAAAACAGACCGACACATGGAAACGGAGACGAAAACAGACCGACACATGGAAACATGAAAACAGACGACACATGGAAACGGAGACGAAACAGACCGACACATGGAAACGGAGATGAAAACAGACCGACAATGGAAACGGAGACGAAAACAGACCGACACATGGAAACGGAGACGAAAACAGACCGACACATGGAAACGGAGACGAAAACAGACCGACACATGGAAACGGAGACGAAAACAGACACACATGGAAACGGAGATGAAAACAGACCGACACATGGAAACGGAGACGAAAACAGACCGACACATGGAAACGGGACTGAAACAGACCGACACATGGAAACGGAGAGAAAACAGACGACACATGGAAACGGAGACGAAAACAGACGACACATGGAAACCAGACGACACATGGAAAGGAGACGAAAACAGACGACACATGAGAAACAGACGGACACAATGGAAACGGAGACGAAAACAGACGACACATGGAAACGGAGACGAAACAGACAAACATGGAAACGGAGATGAAAACAGACTGACACATGGAAAACGGAGACGAAAGAACGACACAGAAAGGAGACGAAAACAGACCGACACATGGATAACGGAGACGACCGCGACATGGAAACGGAGATGAAAACAGACCGACACATGGAAACGGAGACGAAACAGACCGACACATGGGAACGGAGATGAAAACAGACCGACACATGGAAAGAGAGGAAACGAAAACAGACCGAAACATGGAAACGGAGAGGAAAAAGACGCGACACACATGGAAACGGAGATGAAAACAGAGACCGACACATGGAAACGGAGAGGAAAACAGACCGACACATGGAAACAGAGATGAACCGACACAACGGGAGACACGATTGGAACATGGAAAAGATGAAAACAGACCGACACATGGAAACGGAGATAAAACAGACGACACGATGGAAACGGAGAGCGAAAACAGACCGACACATGGAAACGGAGACGAAACAAACCGAACATGGAAACGGAGATTGGGAACGAGATGAAAACAGACGACACATGGAAATGGAGACGAAAACATGACCAACACATGGAAACGGAGATGGAAAACAGACCGACACATGGAAACGAGATGACGAAAAACAGACACATGGAAGGAGATGGAACGGACAAATGGAATGGAGACGGAGGAGACCAACACATGGAAACGGAGAGGAAAACAGACCGACACATGGAAACGGAGAGGAAACAGAACGACACATGGAAATGGAGACGAAAACAGACAACACATGGAAACGGAGACGAAAACAGACCGGAACATGGAAAACGGAGGAGGAAAAGACCGACACATGGAAACAGAGATGAAAACAGACGCGAAACGATGGAAAACGAGATGAAACATGACTGACATGGAAACGGAAATGAAAACAGAGACGGGAAAAACAGACCGGACTACATGGAACGGAGACGAAAACGACGACACATGGAAACGGAGGACGAAAACAATATCGACACATGGAACGGAGATGAACAGACGACACATGGAAACGGAGAATGAAACAGACCGACACATGGAAACGGAGATGAAAACAGACCGACACATGACGAAACAGAGACGAAAAACAGACCGACACATGGAAACAGACGAAAACAGACCGACACATGGAGAACGGGAGGACGAAAACAGACCGACACATGGAAACGGAGACGTAAAACAGACCGACATGGAAACGGAGATGAAAACAGACCGACACATGGAAAACGGAGACGAAAACAGACCGGACACAGAAATGGAGACGAAAATAGACCGACACATGGAGAAACGGAATGAAAACAGATCGACACATGGAAACGGAGACAAAAAGACTGAACAGGGAAACGGAGACGAAAACAGACCGACAGAACAGATGAAACGGAGACGAAAAACAGACCGACACATGGAAACGAGACGAAAACAGACGACACATGGGAAAACGGAGACGAAAACAGACCTGACACTGTGGAAACGGAGACGAAAACAGACCAACACATGGAAACGGAGACAAACATCCGACACATGGAAACGGAGATGAAAACGACTGACATGGACAAACGGGACGAAAACAGACCGACACATGGAAACGGAGATGAAAACAGACTGACACATGGAAACGGAGACGAAAACAGACTGACACATGGAAACGGAGACGAAAACAGACTGACACATGGAAACGGAGACGAAAACAGACTGACACATGGAAACGGAGACGAAAACAGACTGACACATGGAAACGAGACGAAACTGACCGACACATGGAAACGGAGACGAAAACAGACCGACACATGGAACGGAGACGAAAATAGACGACACGAAACGGAGACGAAAATAGACGACACATGGAAACGGAGACGAAAATAGACTGACACATGGAAACGGAGACGAAAACAGACTGGCACTTGGAAACGGAGACGAAAATAGACTGACACATGGAAACAGACGAAAACAGACACATGGGAAAAGGAAAACAGACCGACACATGGAAACGGAGACGAAAACAGACCGACACATGGAAACGGAGACGAAAACAGACTGACATGGAAACGGGAGATGAAAAACAGAACTGACACATGGAAACGGAGATGAAAACAGACTGACACATGGAAACGGAGACGAAAACAGACCGACAATGGAACGGAGATAAAATAGACTGACACATGGAAACGGAGACGAAAACAGACTGACACATGGAAACGGAGACGAAAACAGACCGACACTGGAACGGATGGAAACGGAGATGAAAATAGAGTGACACATGGAAACGAGACGAAAACAGGACGACACATGGAACGGAGATGAAAATAGACTGACACATGGAAACGGAGCGAAACAGACCGACACATGGAAACGGAGACGAAAACAGACTGGCACTTGGAAACGGAGACGAAAATAGACTGACACATGGAAACAGACGAAAACAGACCGACACATGGAAACGGAGACGAAAACAGACGACACATGGAAAACGAGACGAAACAGACCAACACATGGAAACGGAGATGAACAGACTGACTGGAAACGGAGACGAAAACGAACACATGGAAACCAGACACATGGAATGGAGACGGACCCGACACATGGAAACGGAGACGAAATACAACTGAACAAATTTGACACATGGATTCGAAACAGACCGAACATGGAAAGGAGACGAAAAAAAGACGACACATGGAAAACGGAGACGAAAACCAGACTGGAAACTTGGAAACGGAGATGAAAATACTGACACATGACGAAAACAGACCGACACATTGGAACGGAGACGAAACAAAACAGAAACGACGACACATGGAAACGGAGACGAAACAGACGAACACATGGAACGGAGACAAAAACAGACTGG